CAGGTGTTTTGTACCAAGCCTACAGGTGTTTTGTACCAGGCCTACACGTGTTTTGTACCTAGCCTACACGTGTTTTGTACCAAGCCTACAGGTGTTTTGTACCAGGCCTACAGGTGTTTTGTACCAAGCCTACAGGTGTTTTGTACCAGGCCTACATGTGTTTTGTACCAAGCCTACAGGTGTTTTGTACCAGGCCTACAGGTGTTTTGTACCAGGCCTACAGGTGTTTTGTACCAAGCCTACAGGTGTTTTGTACCAGGCCTACAGGTGTTTTGTACCAGGCCTACAGGTGTTTTGTACCAAGCCTACAGGTGTTTTGTACCAGACCTACAGTTGTTTTGTACCAGGCCTACAGGTGTTTTGTACCAGGCCTACACGTGTTTTGTACCAGGCCTACACGTGTTTTGTACCAAGCCTACACGTGTTTTGTACCAGGCCTACAGGTGTGTTGTACCAGGCCTACAGGTGTTTGTACCAAGCCTACAGGTGTTTTGTACCAAGCCTACAGGTGTGTTGTACCATGCCTACAGGTGTTTTGTACCAAGCCTACAGGTGTTTTGTACCAAGCCTACAGGTGTTTTGTACCAAGCCTACAGGTGTTTTGTACCAAGCCTACAGGTGTTTTGTAAAATGCCTACAGGTGTGTTGTACCAGGCCTACAGGTGTTTTGTACTAAGCCTACAGGTGTTTTGTACCAGGCCTACAGGTGTTTTGTACCAGACCTACAGGTGTTTTGTACCAGGCCAACAACACCTGAGAGCGACGGCTACAATTGGTTGTACTAAACATGCCCCATGTTGTGAACAATAGACTACCACAAGAGGGCTCCACCACACCACACTACCACACCGATGCTACCATAGGCCTACCTCACAACCCTCCAAACACACACCGGAACTACGACGTTGGTACAACGTTCGAACAAGTTTTAACACCACCTAACCAGTTATAACAACCAATATACCATGTTGTAACAACGTTCTAATACGTCATAAACACGTTAAGCCAAGATGTAACAACTTTATTACAAGTTGTAACAAGCGGAAAATAGACACAGTTACGGTTTGTGTTTCCAGGGAACCCACCCATACGGCCTACTTCCTAGGCCTACACCGAGCAGAGAGGCAGGTGTACCTGTGCCTTACCTTGACCCCCTCTCTAGTGGCAAACACCACACGTTGCCTACCTGTCTTAATCACCTGCAGGTCCCAGGTGATCACGGTGATCATGTCCTTACCTGTAAAGACAACAGAGACATATTTAACATACGAAACATCTACATCTCGCCTGTCACAGTAAATAACACTTGTAATATATTATGTATGTAGTGTGTGTAGTATATTATATTATATATAATATACTACACACGTATATTATATATAATATATAATATATTACCAAGCATTTATGTAACTGAAGACTCCACACCCCATTAGTGACTCGAACCCAGATAGCCAGGGGCACTATGCAACTGGCGTACCTGGTACCTTAACCACTTGACCAGCCGTGACCGTACAAAAGACGATGGTAGCCGAGGCTCTTTTCCCCCACCGTCCCGACGGCACTTGGCGGCGAGCTTGGGCACAGTTACTTCATCAAATCACCTCATTTTGTGGGGCCACGTGAGCAACACAAGTGTGAACAAGCCTGAATGGTTCCCAAGCATAATTGGGGGAAATAGTCTCGGCTACCATCGTCTTTTGTACAGTCACGGTTGGTCAAGTGGTTAAGGTACCCTAGAGCCCTAGGGTAAACCTCAGAGTAGCTTCACGTGCCCAAGGGTAAACCCCAGAACAGCTTCAGGGAGCGGGTCGGCCGAGCGGACAGCACGCTGGACTTGTGATCCTGTGGTCCTGGGTTCGATCCCAGGCGCCGGCGAGAAACATTGGGCAAAGTTTCTTTCACCCTATGCCCCTGTTACCTAGCAGTAAAATAGGTACCTGGGTGTTAGTCAGCTGTCACGGGCTGCTTCCTGGGGGCGGAGGCCTGGTCGAGGACCGGGCCGCGGGGACACTAAAAAGCCCCGAAATCATCTCAAGATAACCTCAAGATAACCCTAGGGTAAACCTCAGAGTAGCTTCACGTGCCCTCTTGAGGTTATCTTGAGGTTATCTTGAGGTTATCTTGAGATGATTTCGGGGCTTTACTGTCCCCGCGGCCCGGTCCTCGACCAGGCCTCCACCCCCAGGAAGCAGCCCGTGACAGCTGACTAACACCCAGGTACCTATTTTACTGCTAGGTAACAGGGGCATAGGGTGAAAGAAACTCTGCCCATTGCTTCTCGCCGGCGCCCGGGATCGAACCCAGGACCACAGGATCACAAGCCCAGCGTGCTGTCCGCTCGGCCGACCGTATCCCCAAAGATTGACGCTTTCATTCCCAAACATTGTTATATTGTGGGGGGAAAAATAGACTTTGCAATGACTGCAATTCGTGCAATGCCACGAATTTGCATATGGCGGCCCCACTCAACAATGGCTGTCGAGAGGAAGATTAATTAGAAGAGCAGCGGACCCCGCAATTCGAGTGAGGGGGTCATCAGTGGGTACTGTTTCTCTGTCAGATGGGCACTTGGGCATCGTCCATTGGGTCATTAGTATCTTTTCAGTGGGCCATGGGTAACTCTTCAGTGGGCCATGGGTAACTCTTCAGTGGGCCATGAGTATCTTTTCAGTGGGCCATTAGTATCTTTCCACTGGGTCATGAGTATCTTTTCATCAACTCACAGGAGGACACTTAACAAATGTAGAGATTGTAGAGGGAGAGGGGGAGGACCTGCTGCATGGGTAACAGCTTCTCCCCCATATCAACCTACCGTGGCTTTGCGCCCTGGTGAGACCACTTCAGACCGACAACCAGAGCGCAACTCCATAGTCTCCTGAGACTGATGGACGACTACTATTACTACTGCTCACAGTAGGCCGGTCTCACTACACAGTCATACAGCTACGGTGATGATCTGAACAGGTGAACATACACAACTATAGTGTATAGCTTGGGCGTGGACACTGTAGATTGGCGGTGCTCACTCAATCACCACATATATAGTTAGAGAAGCCAGATGTTACAGATGTGGTGCCGGATGTCTTACACTCAAGGGTACGTCCTATCTTACACACGAGTGACAACACAATAGAGTTCAGGCGGGTAGAGGCATTAGGTTCAGATGGCAGAATGATGTCACGAGGTGATATCTGGAGCGAACACAATGACCCGGGGTGAGCCAGGTTGTTGAACTACCCGCATTGCCATAGTGCCGGCTTGTGTGGGTGAGGCCCATGGCATCCTCTGAATAATGGCAGCACGGCTACGTCGCCATCTATGGCAGTGTGGAGAGCTTTTACACTGAGAGACCTGCCAAGACAATCCTTTCAGTGAACTTTACCTGTTAATTTAGTGCACTGATGACTTAATACCTGTTTGATACCTGGTTGATGGGGTTCTGGGAGTTCTTCTACTCCCCAAGCCCGGCCTGAGGCCAGGCTGACTTAGATGAAATAATTATCTTGAGATGATTTCGGGGCTTTAGTGTCCTTGCGGCCCGGTCCTCAACCAGGCCTCCACCCCCAGGAAGCAACCCGTGACAGCTGACTAACACCCAGGTACCTATTTACTGCTAGGTAACAGGGGCATCAGGGTTGAAAGAAACTCTGCCCATTGTTTCTCGCTGGCGCCCGGGATCGAACCCGGAACTACAGGATTACGCGTCCAGTGTGCTGTCCGCTCAGCCGCCGGCTTTTACTTTGATAGTCTGTTAGTTCTGAGGTGATCAGAACTAACGGGAGCGGACAGCACACTGGACTTGTGATCCTGTGGTCCCGGGTTCGATCCCAGGCGCCGGCGAGAAACAATGGGCAGAGTTTCTTTCACCCTATGCCCCTGTTACCTAGCAGTAAAATAGGTACCTGGGTGTTAGTCAGCTGTCACGGGCTACATCCTGGGGTTGGAGGCCTGGTCGAGGACCGGGCCGCGGGGACACTAAAAGCCCCGAAATCATCTCAAGATAACCTCAAGATAAGATCATGTGGTTTTGTCTACTAGTTTTAGTCACACTAATGTCTAATTACCACAATGTCTCTGTACTAACTTATCTTGAGAGGTTATCTTGAGATGATTTCGGGGCTTTAGTGTCCCCGCGGCCCGGTCCTCGACCAGGCCTCCACCCCCAGGAAGCAGTCCGTGACAGCTGACTAACACCCAGGTACCTATTTACTGCTAGGTAACAGGGGCATTCAGAGTGAAAGAAACTTTGCCCATTTGTTTCTGCCTCGTGCGGGAATCGAACCCGCGCCACAGAACTAAGAGTCCTGCGCGCTATCCACCAGGCTACGAGACCATGTCAGAAAACAGATCTCGAACCCTTTATGTAGAACAGACGTAAATATACATATTATATGTATACAATACATACTGGTAATGTATGATAGTTATTGTTACAACACTACAATAACCTTCCGTAGTTACAAAAAATATACTAAAAGAAAAATGCTCTCTTGAGGTGGCAAACTGCTGACCTTTGTTTCACGAGACGAGAATGATTAATTCACCCTAATTAATCCTGGACTAATTAATCCTGGACTAATTAATCCTGGACTAATTAATCCTGTACTAATTAATCCTTTGTGGTGCCATTGGCCTGCTGGAAATGTGGGCTTTCCACAGAGACCCAACACGCCCCACCTCAGTCCATTATTACAGATTATAGGTCCGGGCACTGCGATTATAGGTCCGTGCCCTGCGATTATAGGTCCGGGCACTGCGATTATAGGTCCGTGGAAGACGATTATAGGTCAGTTCACTGTGATTATAGGTCCGTGCACTGCGATTATAGGTCCGTGCACTGCGATTATAGGTCCGTGCTCTGCGATTATAGGTCAGTGGAAGACGATTATAGGTCAGTGGAAGACGATTATAGGTCCGTGCTCTGCGATTATAGGTCAGTGGAAGACGATTATAGGTCAGTGGAAGACGATTATAGGTCCGTGGAAGACGATTATAGGTCAGTGCACTGTGATTATAGGTCCGTGCACTGCTATTACAGGTCCGGGCACTGCGATTATAGGTCCGTGCTCTGCGATTATAGGTCCGTGCTCTGCGATTATAGGTCCGTGCACTGCTATTACAGGTCCGTGCACTGCTATTACAGGTCCGGGCACTGCTATTACAGGTCCGGGCACTGCTATTACAGGTCCGTGCACTGCTATTACAGGTCCGTGCACTGCTATTACAGGTCCGGGCACTGCTATTACAGGTCCGGGCACTGCTATTACAGGTCCGTGCACTGCTATTACAGGTCCGTGCACTGCTATTACAGGTCCGTGCACTGCTATTACAGGTCCGGGCACTGCTATTACAGGTCCGTGCACTGCTATTACAGGTCCGGGCACTGCTATTACAGGTCCGGGCACTGCTATTACAGGTCCGGGCACTGCTATTACAGGTCCGTGCACTGCTATTACAGGTCCGGGCACTGCTATTACAGGTCCGTGCACTGCTATTACAGGTCCGGGCACTGCTATTACAGGTCCGGGCACTGCTATTACAGGTCCGTGCACTGCTATTACAGGTCCGGGCACTGCTATTACAGGTCCGTGCACTGCTATTACAGGTCCGGGCACTGCTATTACAGGTCCGGGCACTGCTATTACAGGTCCGGGCACTGCTATTACAGGTCCGTGCACTGCTATTACAGGTCCGGGCACTGCTATTACAGGTCCGGGCACTGCTATTACAGGTCCGTGCACTATTACAGGTCCGTGCACTGCTATTACAGGTCCGGGCACTGCGATTATAGGTCCGTGCTCTGCGATTATAGGTCCGTGCACTGCTATTACAGGTCCGGGCACTGCGATTATACGTCCGGGCACTGCTATTACAGGTCCGGGCACTGCGATTATACGTCCGGGCACTGTGATTACAGGTCCGGGCACTGTGATTATAGGTCCGTGCACTGTGATGAAGTGCACTCGTGCACTCCCAAGTTGATTTCCTTCCCCTCATGCACTCAATTTACACAACTTAGTCAGCTGAGAAAATCCACACTTTCACGTATATTAAAAGTCCCCAAAATTTTGAGTGAACATTTCACTCCAAAATGTATACCTTCGTTCATAACTATTACAGGAGATGTTTACATCAGAGAAGGTTGTAAACAACTTGACTGTAGTAAGTGGGTTGTTTTATATTGCCACGTGGAACTATTCTCTCAGAGGAAAGGTAGTTACTGAGTGGGGGAGATGGAGGGGGATAGGGGGGGTTGGGGGGGTTGGGGGGGCATGGAGGATAGGGGGGTTGGGGGGGCATGGAGGATAGGGGGGTTGGGGGGGCATGGAGGATAGGGGGGTTGGGGGGGCATGGAGGATAGGGGGGTTGGGGGGGCATGGAGGATAGGGGGTTGGGGGGGGCATGGAGGATAGGGGGGTTGGGGGGGCATGGAGGATAGGGGGGTTGGGGGGGGCATGGAGGAAAGGGGGGTACATCTTGAGAGGATAAATGGAATAGGTAGTTAGGGAGATAAGGATGAGTCTTGGCGTGGACCAAGAGGGAAGGACCAGAGGACCGGTGGACCAAGAAGGACCAGAGAACCGGTGGACCATGAAGGAAGGAACAGAGGACCAGTGGACCATCAAGGGAGGACCAGAGAACCGGCGGACCACGCCGCAAGTCACTGTAGACCCACAGACGTGATGGCCAGGTGAACAGTGAACGTTTTGTTCCATCAGTGGGTTTAATGGCCTTGAGACGCGACCCTGGAGGCTGCTGACGCCCTACGCGGCGTCCCCTTGTCTGTGTCATGTATCAGGCCGTGTGTCATCACACATGACACTGTGCAAGGTGTGTGTCAAGACTGTGTCGTGTATCAGGCCGTGTGTCATCACACATGACACTGTGCAAGGTGTGTGTCAAGACTGTGTCGTGTATCAGGCCGTGTGTCATCACACATGACACTGTGCAAGGTGTGTGTCAAGACTGTGTCATGTATCAGGCCGTGTGTCATCACACATGACACTGTGCAAGGTGTGTGTCAAGACTGTGTCGTGTATCAGGCCGTGTGTCATCACACATGACACTGTGCAAGGTGTGTGTCAAGACTGTGTCATGTATCAGGCCGTGTGTCATCACACATGACACTGTGCAAGGTGTGTGTCAAGACTGTGTCCTGTATCAGGCCGTGTGTCATCACACATGACACTGTGCAAGGTGTGTGTCAAGACTGTGTCATGTATCAGGCCGTGTGTCATCACACATGACACTGTGCAAGGTGTGTGTCAAGACTGTGTCGTGTATCAGGCCGTGTGTCATCACACATGACACTGTGCAAGGTGTGTGTCAAGACTGTGTCATGTATCAGACCGTGTGTCATCACACATGACACTGTGCAAGGTGTGTGTCAAGACTGTGTCATGTATCAGGCCGTGTGTCATCACACATGACACTGTGCAAGGTGTGTGTCAAGACTGTGTCATGCGGGTCAAGTCCCTCGAGCGTCGTCCTCATCATGTGGTGGAGCTGGCCCACAACAGTGGGCAAGACAGCTGGCCCACAACAGTGGGCATGACAGCTGGCCCACAACAGTGGGCATGACAGCTGGCCCACAACAGGGGGTATGACAGCTGGCCCACAACAGGGGGCATGACAGCTGTCCCACAACAGTGGGCATGACAGCTGGCCCACAACAGTGGGCATGACAGCTGGCCCACAACAGGGGGTATGACAGCTGGCCCACAACAGGGGGCATGACAGCTGGCCCACAACAGGGGGTATGACAGCTGGCCCACAACAGGGGGCATGACTACTGGCCCACAACAGGGGGCATGACAGCTGGCCCACAACAGTGGACTCATTTACTAAACCTCTGTCATTTAAGGTAAGCTGTTAGACAATTTGCTTATCACGCAGCGAAGATTAATCTTATCAGTGATCACTCCTGTGTTACCATTGTGGTAGAGAATGATGAGGCAGCAGTCTCTCTCAAACTCAGCAGTCAGAAGCACAAGTTATAAATCAGTATACCAGGATTCAGCCAGCACTTACGCGCCCACTTACGACACCTGTGCATCTTTTCTCGATCATAGCGGCTTAATTTGCATTTATTAAACAGCTTTTACGAGCTGCGGAGAGTTACGAGGTTGTCTAGTTTGAGAACGACCTCGGAGCGTTTCCGAGCTCCTAAAGTATTGAAATTGATACTAAGACGTCATGGAAGATGTACAGGCTTCGTGAGGTGAGTGGGAAAGGCGTGATGAGCCGTGGCAGTGACCAACCTCAACACCAGAGGCGTTAACCTCCCCATCCCCCCCGCCGCCGCCGCCGGGAACAAAAGACACACGAGCGGCGGGAGACAACAATGGCCGCCCCCCCCCCCCACACATGCCCAAGCTGTTCTGACTCCACCACTAAACCTCTTTTGCTCCATCACAACCTCTCTCTCTCTCATCATTTTATTATATTATATATATTATATTATATTATATATATATATATATATATATATATATATATATATATATATATATATATATATATATATATATATATATATGTCGTACCTAGTAGCCAGAACGCACTTTTTGGCCAACAATGCAAGGCCCGATTTGCCTAATAAGCCAAGTTTTCCTGAATTATTATATTTTCTCTGATTTTTTTCTTATGAAATGATAAAGCTACCAATTTCATTATGTATGAGGTCAATTTTTTATTATTGGAGTTAAAATTAACGTAGATATATGACCGAACCTAACCAACCCTACCTAACCTAACCTATCTTTATAGGTTAGGTTCGGTTAGGTAGCCGAAAAAGTTAGGTTAGGTTAGGTAGGTTAGGTAGTTGAAAAACGATTAATTCATGAAAACTTGGCTTATTAGGCAAATCGGGCCCTGCATAGTAGGCTGAGAAGTGCGTTCTGGCTACTAGGTACGACATATATATATATATATATATATATATATATATATATATATATATATATATATATATATATATATATATATATATATATATATATATAGCAGACTTTCTTGTAAACTTATGTTGTTGAATATGACCGAAAAGGTAAGATTAATAATTCTAACACGAATCTTCTCAATATTTCTTATGTTTTTCTTCAATGTCGGTGGTAATAAAAATAAAAATTCTCCGAAATTCATTTTTTTAATTGGTTGACGCCTGAACGCGTTTCGTAATTCGTATTACATTTTCAAAGGCTTAATTTACACACAAATTCTTCGTTCTTATACTCTATTGGATGAGGTGACATGGTACAAAAGTTTTAGGTGAGGTGACAAACACAAGACAGAACACGAAACAATGGGTATAAATTGGATAAGTGAACATCAGAATGGAAGTAACTGCAGAAGGCCTATTGGCCCATACTTCCTCTTGCTGCTTCCATATTGGTTCGGGGTCTTGAAGTAGGTAGAATATAGTTGTGCATTAATTGGCTGTTGATTGCTGGTGTTGACTTTTTGATGTGTAGTGCCTCGCTGATGTCAAGCCGCCTGCTATCGCCGTACCTATCGATGATTTCTGTGTTGTTTTTAACAAACAACACAAATCATCAATAGGTATCATGATAGAAATCATCGATAGGTAATCATCTCCCGAGGCCTCGTAGCACCTGCCTGGCCGTTGTATTTCCAACCTGTCCTCTTAAAAATAACGTCGCTTTTGGCCGTTTACCAGTATGGCTGAAAGTGGACGTAATTTGAAAATGGAAAAAAAAAATTAATTTGGGATTTTTTTTTCAACAACAGTAAGTTAAGGGTCCTCTGGAAGGTTGGGCTGGAAATTCTCATAAAGTTTCAAATTTGTATGAAAAATGTTACTTGAAAGTTTCCTCTCCTAACCTTTCCGAGTAAGCCGGACGACTCGAACAGAAAACGGGACAGTACGTCACTTTTGTGAGTCGATTTCATTCCAAATTACGTCCACTTTTGGCCATAGTGCCGCGCATACGAGCCAAAAACGACGTTATTTTGAAGAGGACGGGTTGGTGCTACTGAAAAAATCTTTGAACAAATTGCTTAATTTCCATTCCAAACTTGTATTGTACATGTTCCAGCCCGTGAATGCCTTGCATGCACCTCTCAATCCTCCATTCAACTGAACCTGGAGTAGGATCTAAGAGTTCTACTCCCCAAGCCCGGCCCGAGGCCAGGCTTGACTTGTGGTAACTTGGTCCAACAGGCTGTTGCTTGGAGCGGCCCGCAGGCCCACATATCCACTACAATCAGTCCGTCAGCCGCCAGTAAGAAACAAAAACCAGAACGATAACTATTAGATCTGACGGACGATTGGGCTTTGTCCTCATTGTCTTTCTTCGCTGGCAAGACTTGACAGGTCTCCCCTCAGGCAATATCTGCAGCGCAAGGGAAAGGTCAGGCGTCAATTCCTTCCAGTGTTCCAGACCGCTCCTCCTGTTCCAGGCGTCTCGCAGACCATTCCTCCTGTTCCAGGCGTCTCCCAGACCGTTCCAGGCGTCTCCCAGACCATTCCTCCTGTTCCAGGCGTCTCCCAGACCGTTCCTCCTGTTCCAGGCGTCTCCCAGACCATTCCTCCTGTTCCAGGCGTCTCCCAGACCGTTCCTCCTGTTCCAGGCGTCTCCCAGACCGTTCCTCCTGTTCCAGGCGTCTCCCAGACCGTTCCTCCTGTTCCAGGCGTCTCCCAGACCGTTCCAGGCGTCTCCCAGACCGTTCCAGGCGTCTCCCAGACCGTTCCTCCTGTTCCAGGCGTCTCCCAGACCGTTCCTCCTGTTCCAGGCATTTCCCAGACCGTTCCTCCTGTTCCAGGCGTCTCCCAGACCGTTCCTCCTGTTCCAGGCGTCTCCCAGACCGTTCCTCCTGTTCCAGGCGTCTCCCAGACCGTTCCTCCTGTTCCAGGCGTCTCCCAGACCGTTCCTCCTGTTCCAGGCGTCTCCCAGACCGTTCCTCCTGTTCCAGGCGTCTCCCAGACCGTTCCTCCTGTTCCAGGCGTCTCCCAGACCGTTCCTCCTGTTCCAGGCGTCTCCCAGACCGTTCCTCCTGTTCCAGGCGTCTCCCAGACCGTTCCTCCTGTTACAGGCGTCTCCCAGACCGTTCCTCCTGTTCCAGGCGTCTCCCAGACCGTTCCAGGCG